AGTCCCAGTCCACAAATGTAACCACCAGACCATCCATCTTCCATTTCCTGTTAATAATTTAGATTTAGGCTAAGAAGTTCACAGTAAGCATGTCATCTTTCACTCTACTTCAGAGGCACAAAAGTGCACAATCCTGGTCTTATCCAGCCAAATTCCCTTTCTTCTCTGTGTTGGATATTTAATCCTCATATGTGGCTTTCCCTCATAATCTTTCCAGTATTTTAAAGTGGTGATGGTGCACACAGTTAAAAGCCAAGAGTGTACAATAAATAAATAAACTTTCTCCTACAGCTAGAGTGATCAAATCACCAGGATAAAGACCATGTTAAACCAAATCCATAGTGCTGACTTAAACTGAATGGAGGGAAAAGATGTTTTATTTTATGGCAATACTAGCCTCTGTGCTATAATAGACAGCCTACCAATTGATTAGCTGGAGAAATGGATCTGTGGCTATGAAACTGCATGAGACAGATCTGCTATGGCCCTCTAAAGAGTCTTGATATAAGTAGTTTCAAAATAGCATTTCTATAAAGGATAAGAAAAGTGACTGTCATGTGTAAGGGTCAGCATTGTCTCCAGACCTAAGCAAGTGCATTCTCATCTTGGTTTGGAATCCTTCTGTGGCTTTGGCCAAGTCACCTAATTTTCCCATCTGTAAAATGGGGTTGTTAACTACATCGCTGTAGTGATGACTATTAAACAGCTGCTTGAAAAGAATTACATACTAGTTCAGTCAGTGCTCATTTGGAATTAGCGTGTGTATGTGGTGGGGAAGACCTTAAACATACAGTGTGAGGAGACCAGGTGAGAATGATGGGATGAGGAACAAAAGATGAGACTAAGGAGGAAGAGAAAATATAATATAGGGGAGAGCAAGGGGGTGGAGAGCAGAGTATGAATATGAATATGAATTGGGAAGAAAAGAATAGCAGGGAGAAAAATAATGTAGAATGAGTTGCAGAACAGGAGGAAATAAAAAGGAATAAAGACATCTAGGGAGGCAATAAGCAAGAGCAGTGATTTTTTTAACTTTATTATGTTTCTACAGCTGTGAGCTTGTGGGGAAAGGTGATATTTTGAGCACTTGTGTTACAATAATATTGCGGTTTATTCTGTGATCCACAGTGAAATGCAGGAAGGGGGGGGGGGGGAGAGAATACTTAAAATTCAACAAAAGTGCAAAAAAATCCCAGTTTAGATGAAGAACTGTTCCTTTGCTTTTTTTTCCCCCCCGCTTCAGTTTTACAATACAGGCCTCAATGTAAGCTGGTGGTTCTCCATTCCTCTTGCAACAGGGTGGCCTGGTGGCAGACTGAAGATTTAGGAGGATGCAAACAAACATTTACACAACCCTTCCCAAAAATCCTCAGCCCCATCCTGTGCTTTGTGAAGTAATCACAGGAGATTGGAGATTGTTTTGTAGATTAATGTCTAAATGCTAAGGCCAGCACTGATTTATTTCCCTCTGGTCATATGTTAAAGGCAAACACGGGCAGCAAAAGTCAATGTGTGAATCGTTTAAAAATGGTGTTCTAAGCATCCCAATCAGCAGAATGGAATAGCAGTGTGGAAATAGGCGTCTATCAGGCATCCACTTCATGCACTGCTTTCTATCAAGATAGCTCATCTCCTCTCCTGTCCATATAATTACCAAATGAGTGGCAATGCTGCAGCCATGAGCATTCTCCCAGTCCCTGATGATGAGATATTGGTTAGGGCACTCACTCCTCCTTTCGAGGAAAGATCAAGTGGGCATGGGAGTTAAGGAATGGGAAACATTCCCATATGCTGAGGTCAGGAGTTAGTCTCCTCATTGCTGAGCCTTTGGTTTTAACAGAGCATCTAGTAGGGCTTGCCAGGGAGTCTATTGTAGGGAGTATTGTACCACCTACTCCCTACAATAGACAATAAAAGCTTGAGATTGATGCCCGTCTCCTCCCACTCAAGCTTTCTCATTCCTATATTTGTACAGGTCACAGTCCCTTATGGCACTCTCCGTCAATGTACAATAGACATGCTTGCTGCTATATGGGAACCTAATTGGTGGTTATAATATGCTTGGACTCAGTGTTTGCTATTATGGCCCCAGTTCAGGAAAGCACTTAAACATGTGCAAGCTTAATTGCATTCTCGAACAGGGATACTTTCTTGAATTGGGCCTACATGGTTCATAAGTTGTCCTGAAATATAATAAAAGTGTTACATGGGAGTCATAGCCATCTTTTTTTTGGTGGGTGGGGTGGGGGCATTCCTCATTTTCCTTTAACATCATCATTCTTTCACTAGATTTACTGCATGCATTTAATTTCAGTTTAGGCAGTCTGATTTGGAAAGTAAAACAATAAGGTGAAGTAATGCAAAAGCAATTTTTCCAGATAAAAATCTGACTTTTAGAATTGAAACTTTTGGGGTGGGGATGGTAAAGTTGGTGATTTCACTTTGATGTGTGTTTCCTCCTCCCTCCACCCCCAAGAATCTTAAATAAATAGTGAAAATACTGAAATACATTTCTAAAGTTTATGAGTTGACTTGTTGCCAAAGTGCACTCACCCAAGTTTGCATCTGCTGCAGTATTTACACCCTTTCCTAAATCACATTTACAGACAATGCGGAGTGGGGAGATGGGGCCATTGGCAGCAGCAGACTCACTTGTGGTGGCATTGTGGCCTATGGCCATTTGAAGGCCGTTTATGTACAAACTGGCTGACAGCCAGCCATTGAACATTTGAGCTAGGCAGGGGCCTTCTGGGTAATCAGTGGCACCAATCATCAACAGATGCCCCATGTAAGATGGTGGCCAGCCATGGGTTATTTTATTTTTTTAATTAAGGCTTAGGGCTTTAACCCTAATTTTGGAATGTTGACTTGGTTGTGTAACAATCAGTTTTGGAATGTTTTTATCCCTTTGACAAAGCCTTGCATTTTAGTATTTTGAATGAGTTGGAACACACAGCAGCTTCTGTGCTTCCTTGAAGACATTTAATCTCTTCTGAAGCTCAGAACACTAAAACGTTATGACTTTGCAAGGATAAGAAATGCTTATTTTATCATGCCAGGTCTTATCCAGGCCAAAATGGTAACGAGAGAAGAGTAGACAGTCCAAGCTTAGGGGTGCAAATCAGTGAGCTTTCAAAGTGTTTGTAGAAACTCTTAGAGCACTCGATAAAATACAATAAAAAGTAATAGACTCACTGGAAGCTCAGCAGGAGCCTAATGGACAAGTGTGGCTCTTGATGAGGGTTGATCAACTCTGTAACAAAGGGCAGCAGTTCAGATTACAGAACTGTCTTTCACAATAGAAGGTTCAGTGCAGCAAATTACTTTGAGCTCTAGGATTGTTTTCTTTTGTGAAGAGGACTTCAAGGCTAACTCAGAGGGAAGAAATATAGGCTAATATCTCATCTGGGATATTAAAAGTTCGCTCTGAGAGACAACGTGCACTACTATATCTCTTGCTGGGTTGGCAGAAGGATTGACTTGGCTACATGCCAGAGACTGTTTTCAATCCGTTTTTTCCCAGCAGGGATGCTGTCATGGGGTGAAAATTGACATATATAACGTGTGTACACCTCAGGTAGACAACATCCTTGTAGTTTTTAGCAGTATATTTCTGGAGTTGTAATATACATATGAGTAAACTACTCTATGTTAGGAATACATGGTAGGTTTTTTTTGTTCAAATTTCCATAATTTTGTACTGAAAGTTTTCAAATGTTTCTGTATCAAGGTGTATAGAACAGAGGAGTAACAGTAGTTGGATATCGTCTGATCCTCTTGAATATTAGTAACTAGTAGTTTTACCTCTTGAATATTAGTAATTTTTAAATCTTTACACAGTAGTTTTAAGCAAGTGTCATTTCATCCTTAGACTTTGTCTACACTACAGCTTAAGTCGGTATAACTTATGTCCCTCATGGGGGTGAATAAATCATAAGCACTGATGTGGACAGCACTGTGTTGGTGGGAAAAGCTTCTGCAGGTGCACCACTGTAAACTCTCTAGTGTAGCCATGGCCTTAAATACATAAATATGTAGTTTGTAGGATCAGGCCTTGTGTTATTTAACAAAATGCTTGCATTGGTGAGTAGTACCAAGGATTTTGGTGTGGTTACCTATGGTTGTAGGTACTTCTCCTAGTAGTAGCTGTTTGTGAAATTGGGCCCGTAGTTTTCAGAAAGTTTCATGACTAAAACCTCTACTTACACTGACAGTTTTCATGGCTAGTGGGGTGATATTGAGGTTAAGTAAAGTTTAGCATTCTTCCACGTACATTTGTAGAAGAAATATCTCCTTTGATAGTATTATTTGTAAGTAATTTCAAAATAGCCTACTTGCCTGAAATGCTACCTTAATGTAAAGTAGAAAAGCTCATACAATTACTCTGTTATTGAAAACTCTGTCAGAGTGCCTATCTTAAGTTCAGAAAGTTAACTCAAGACTCTATCATCCAAAAAGAGTAATTACTGTAAGATCCAGGATTTTTTAAATTCCAAGTTACATAGTCATCTCCTACTGCAGCCAATACTGTAGTGTATCCAGGTAATCAGTAGAACAAACCTAGACTTGTCATAAAGCAATAAAAATGTGGATGATGCCTTTAGAGTATGTTGGGGAATTATGTAAACTATAGCTCTAATATTTTCAGGAGTGCTTCAGATTATTTTCAAAAGACCATTTGGTGATGGGAGAAAACTGTTAAAATATTTATTTCACTCTGTATGTTTTCAAATGTTATTAGTTACCCAACTCCACTAAGCCAGGAATTCACACTTGCATATTTCAGAAACAAAGAAAATGAATGTTGGAAAGTATCTGATAACATAAGCATTGTTTTGGGTTATTCAGTGAGGAATCCTTTAAAGTGTTTTTTCCAGCATTTGCATGATAAACCAAAAGCTGCATTTTAAAATAGTGTATACCTTACAAAGTCAATAACTTTTGTTGCACTCCAGTGCCTGAACTGACAGTACATACATGATGGATTCTTCTCATTCCAGGACAAAGTTTAATGGGTGATGCATCAGAAGTACACAAGGCTCAATTCTCTCAACAGGCCATGCTGAACAAAGGGCTCAGTAAATCTATGGGATTCCTGTCCATCAGAGGAGCACAAGGCGAGGAAGACTTTTTCCAAAGCATATCCTCAGATTACTACTCTGGACGAGAAGATGCTTGCGGTCCTTATCGGTGTAGAACGGATGACTTGGGGGGAAAAAGTAACGTTGGAGCAGACAGTGCTCCCAAACAGAAGGTTTGGGCTTCCTCCACAGACTTGCTGTGTACAACTAACAAAGCAACTGAGACAGACCATTCTGCAGAGTCTCACAGACACAACAATCACTATGAGACAGTTACGGTACGGACTTCAACTACCGCTAGGAACAAGGAATCAAGGTATTCTGATGGAAGCATAGCACTGGATGTCTTTGGCCCTCAAAAACTGGAGCAGGTGCGCCCCGTGCCAGAGTCATCCACCTCTGCAGCAATATCCTGTGCCTTTGACCGAATCAGAGAGAGACAGAAGAAATTGCAGGCTCTGAGGGAAGCCATGAACGTAGAAGGTGAATGAGGTTTTCTACATTTTGTTGGTGAGGGGGTTACTTTATGCAGAGGCTTCTTCCGTTTGATTAAGTTAATATCTCCATAGCACCTCTTGGAGGAGGTGAGATTTTGCTTTTCTTCAGTTTTTAAGTAAACGACAAAGCATTAGAATGGCTGCCGCCAGTGCGGAGGTAGGGACAGAGCTACTGCTATACTGGATCAGACCAGTTGCCCATTTAAGCTGGTATCCTGTTTGAGATTAGCCCACAACAAATGCTTCAAATGAAATTGCAGAAAGCCCTGTAGTAGACAATTATGGACAATTCTCCTCCAGAGAAAGCTTCTTCCTAACTCCCAATAATGAGAAGTTGGTTTATGCCCTGAAGCAGAAGGGATTATATCTCTTCCAACCTTCTTCGTTGGTTGTGTATTAATAACTTCGAATGATCTTGTTAACCTTTTTTGAATCTTGCTAAGAGGTTGGCTCAATGGTATTGAGTGGCAGTGAGACCCATGGTCTAACTGAGCATTTATATGAAAAACATTTTCTTTTATCAGCTCTGTAGACATTCATCAAATCATCTGCATGTAAAACCCCATGGGTGTGGCTGCAATATTTTGTTTTAAAAACTTGCTCGTGTTTTCATGGGTTTAGTTGTGTAAGTAAGGGACAAATAGTAATACTAAGGGACAAATTCTGACCTTGAATAGGCAGCATGCTTTGCTGAATGGCTTGTAAAATCACCTAATGCACAAGACAGAATAGCTATATTTATTTGACATTCAGAGCTAGATAGACACAAAGATTTCACTGCTAGGTTACTGGTTTGAATCAGAATGTGAGGGTCTGTAGTGTTGAAAAGTCATTGTGGTCTGCCTGCTGTAAGACTGCCTATGTGAAATGGCTGTTTCAGTCCAGGCTCTAGTGGGCATGTCTAAGGCACTATTTCAGGAACGCATCCCCATTTAGACAAGATGGTTAGGCACTATTCTGAAGTGTGGCTTAAATCACAAAAATTGCTTATCGGCACCTCTTTTGGCCATCTCAGTGGAGATTTAGGATTGAAAGCCGTAGAGATCAAAATACCATCTTACTATCGGAGGTGGTTCTTGCCTGTCAGTGGTGAAGCATGTTAGGGATGGGGTGGGGAAGCTTGAAATGCCCTGCTCGTCCTATCAAGTTACCATCTTTGATAAATGCTACATTTTTAAAGCAATAGAATGAAAGTGAGTGAAGATAGATACCTGGAGATAACCACTGTGTACCTGGAATTAGACTCTGTCCCACTAGAAATGCATACGCTAAGGTAGTAAGTGAAGGTTTTTGTGATTTAAGGATCTTAATTTAAGGAGACTGTATCATCTCTTATTTCTATCTTGAAAAGTGCAAAAAATATAGTAAATAAAATAAAAAGCATCAGTACTTTCTGAGCTGTGCCATATAGTTACATTATTTTTTCAGGGTTTGTCATGTTGAAACAAAGGGCTTTTTTTTTTTTTTCTTTAAACACCCTCACTTCCTTAATTTTGAAATGTCACTATCCCTGGCAATATTACTTGAAAACTTTTAAAGCCAGACTACACTAATCTGACTAATATATGAATTAATTTAACTATCAATATTTGAACATATGCAGTTTATGAAACCAAAGAGCAGGCCACTCCCTGTAAAGAAAATAATAAATTGTCCCACCCTTTAAGAGCTCTCTGCTTTGTGCATGTTAATCTTGCACAACAGCAAAACCAAAGACAGACAATCCAACTGATGAGCAAGAATTTATCATTCCCATTCAGACAGTTTAGCGATTCTGAAGAAAATCTTGTAGGTCCGTGCCCTGAAAGCTTTTGAGATGATTCCAATGTATGAAACTACTAGATTCCTGTAAGGAAAGGGTGAAAGTGCAGTTAGGGATAACAGATGCTCTGGCTTCCTAGTCAGTGCAGTTGAATGGCAAATTTACTTTGAGAGGGTGTAGACAATACTTAATGACTCATTTACCATCATTATGAATTTGCAATAGCTATTTGATAGAACAGGTTGTAAGCCAGTTTCCAGCAAAGACCTGACTTGTGACATGTACATTTTACATTCTCCTTAAAAAGAATTGTGAAATAAACATCATTATGCATTGATTTATCACATGTAGTCCTTGGCCAAAGGAGAGCTTTGCTTTTGGGTGTTGCAGAATTTTTAGAGAAGCCATTTTGAGAGACAAGTCTTCAAAAATATGGCTTTTCATTTTTTTTAAACTGTTCTGTTTTTTGTGTGTGTCCGTTATTCACAGATGACTGGACTAAAATCTTGTTTTAAATATGAATTCTCAATAAAACCTACTCTTCATTGGTTTTCTGTGAGGAATATTTTTTATCAAGTTGGAGTGTGAAGGGTTTTTAGAGGCACACTTCATCTGTGTTTATAACTTGCACGAGAAGTCTGTTGAATGTTACACACTCCTCTCTGACTTATTTTGTATGAAGCAAACATTTCATAAAATATGAACTATGTCTACCTCTTTTCATTTCCTCCGTTCCTCTTTTTCTCTCCACGTTTCTTACTATATCATACAGTATCTTGCCTCTTGTTAAAATAGGTTAGACCGGGGTGGCCAACCTGAGCCTGAGAAGAAGCCAGAATTTATCAATGTACATTGCCAAAGAGCCTCAGTAATACGTCAGCAGCCCCCCTCCCCCGCGCCTGTCAGCTCCCCCTACTCCAACCTGCAGCACTTCCTGCCAGCTGGCAGCCCCACCAATCAATGCCTCCTGCTCCCTCCCTACACCTCCCACTCACCGTGATCAGCTGTTATGTGATGCACAGGAGGCTCTGGTGGGCAGGGGGTGGGGAAGCAAGGGCATGGCAGGCTCAGGGGAAGGGGTGGAGTGGGGGCAGGACCTGGGGCAGAGCAAGGGTTGAGCAGTGAGCACCCCACAGTTAAAATCTATAGCTCCAGCCCCGGAGTCAGGGCCTATGCAAGGAGCCGCATATTAACCTATGAAGAGCCGCATGCGATTCCGGAGCCACAGGTTGGCCACCCCGGGTTAGACCCTTAAAATGTATGACAAGAGTTTAGGGGTTGGAGAGAGTGAGTGCTGGATTTGTGTCTTTTACTTGCTTACTCTATTGAAGAGGTGAACGTAATCACATGCAAGTAGGTTATGTAGTACACTACCACTGTCAACCACTTTTAAAATCTCTTTTTGCTAGGCAGATGGTTTACATCTTCCAAATATGGTGGTAATATTTTGGAGTGCACTTGAAATGGGTACATGAACCTAAATGCAGGCGCAGCATTTTGAGGTAGTTCAGGGGAAGTGCATAGGTGAAGTTACTGATCCCCCTAGGAAGCTCAGGTAGAATCTGTTATCCATCCTTTAGAAGCAGATAGCAATGGCTTAGGTCAGCACCTCATAGGAGGCTCTCTGACTCTTTCCCACGGAACATCACACAGCTGACAGGTAGGAGGCTGATCTCCTCTTAGGAAGGAACTGCCTGGAAAGAAGAAAGCATGAGAAAAGGAGTGCAGTGTCCTCTCTCCTCCCCAGATCAGATCATCACATCTTCACACCTGACCCAGAGTGATCTGAGGGAAAGGGCTGCTGGAAAATGATGTTCCGCCTCTAGAGGAAGAGGTTATGGGGAGGAAAGGGTATCTCAATAATGAGGGCATTTAGCACGACGGAACAGGTCCTTGATGCTGGCCAAGAGCTAGAACTATAGTACTGTCCTGGCTGGAAAGAAGTGTCTATGTGCAAGGCCTGTTTTGGGGGGGGATTTAAAATGTTGTTTACTCAAGGTCCCAGCTGTCCTTAGTCCATCCCCGTTACTACATATACAGGTCAATAAATCTCTGCTTTTCTTTGTTTTTTTCAAATTACAAAAAGGCATTAGATCTTAGTGCAAAGTAAACTGTGCTGAATATAATTTTCTTTTTGCATCACAAAGGAACTTTAAGAAGACAAAAAGCCACATCTTATTTTTAAATCTATCTTATTTTGAGTTAAGCTGACAAACTTTAGTGTTGTTCATGTAACTTAAAGGGTTGAATGTGTTTTTTTTTTTTTTTTTTTTTTAATGTTCCCACTCATAGGATCTGGTGTTCAAAGTTTTAACTCAAAACCCATTTGACAACCAAATTACAAACTCCTGAAAAATAGGGCTTATAGTGGAAAGGCTGACATGACCTTAATTATAGCAGCACTGTAATACAGCAGCTTGCAAAAAGCTGCAAACCACATAAGCTGCATTATATTAAAATACGCAGTTGGGTTTTGAAACGGAATGTTTCAAGTTTAACTTCATAAACTTGTTAAGGATAACTCATGCTAGGTGCTTAGTTCATTAACTTGTAGTATTGTGTTCAGCTCAGATATAAGGTCATTTAATTTCTCTATTCTAATGAAAATTTAGGTAGTTGTTGATTGTCAAGGTGCTTAGCTGGAAGATGGTGGGGGAATCTTCTCTGAATTCAAGTATACATGATCCAGTTATGAACACTAAAAACACACCATATTCAAGGTGTGGGTGTACCATGGATTTGTATAGTGGCATTACGATGTTTTCTGGCTTATTATCTATCCGTTTCCTAATGGCTCCTAACATTCTGTTCACGTTTTTGACTGCCACTGCACATTGAGGAGATGTTTACAGAGACCTAGTCACAATGATTCCATGATCTTTCTTGAGTAGTGACATAATTTAGACCCCATCATTTTGTATGTAAAGTTGGAATTATGTTTTCCAATGTGCATTACTTTGCCTTTATCAATATAGAATTTCATCTGCCATTTTGATACCCAGTCACCCAGTTTTGTGAGATTGCTTTTGTAACTCTTCACAGTCAGCTTTGGACTTAACTATCTTGAGTAGTCTTGTATTGTCTGCAAACTTTGCCATCTCGCTGTTTACCCCTTTTTTCAGATCATTCACGAATATATTGAAAGCATTTGTCCCGTATGGACCCTTAGGAAACCCCACTAGTTATCTCTCTCCATTGTGAAAACTAACCATTTATTCCCACGC